TATATATATATATATATATATATATATATATATATTAGGAAGCTAAACTGGCACGGCTTTCTCGACATGTATGCTAATAATTTTGTGGATGGAGATGGTAAGGCTTGCGACCAGATTGCGCACCAGCACGTTGAACAAAATATTGGCACGAACACTTCTTTCACACGTGTTGGAAGTTGATGTCAGCAAGGTTATGAACTCTTGCTGTTTTGTCGCTATGGGTTAGGAGTTTTCATGTTGAAAATGATGGAACTTTAGTGCACCATGATGCTGTGGCTAAAGGAGGCCAACAAAAATGCAAATTAATAATGCAATGCAATTAAATAGTGCAACAAGAAAGCATGATCTAAAAACTCATCGTTTGAAAACTCTACCCATAGTCAGATTTATTTGCAAAAATCATTGAGCACAACACAAATATTTCGCTCAATTTTGAGTATACCACACAGAATGCGTCGATTCCAAACCCCGACGTTCGTTTTGCGGTTGAAATACATACAACTTGACTGTCCTTTAAAACATCTCGTCCCGAGATATACTTTGCTGTCCCGATAGCTCGGTTGCTCAGAGCGTCTGGCTCCGATTCACCCACCCGTAGCGGTGGGGGCTGAAGTCGTCTTGGGCGTTCACTTTAGTCTCTTTTGGCCAGGTCTCACTCAAAAAGCACTTCTTAGCGCAGGCGTTCGCTCAGAGAATCAAAAAGGTTCGCCCAGAAAATCAAAAGCCCAATCAAATGTTTGGACTAAGTATCTTGAGTATTCGTCCGCCCGATCATAACGAATTTGAATTCGGCATACCCTATGGCTACAGAAAAGTAGTCCTTAAATGACAATGTAGAGAGTGATGCATTATTATCTAAACCCCGATCGTGCGAACGTTGTCTTGCTAAAACATATTATTTTCCATGAGGCCGGATACCCGGAAGGCCGGTACATTGGGTGAGGTATCTCAATTATACACTTACGATTTTACATTACCGCAATATCAGGTCCGCAAAGAAGTCGTGGAAAGGTGAAATAAACAGACTGTGTCTATGTGAAGCTGCCGTTTATACAGGATGACCAGAAAAAAGTTAACTCACGTTTTACTCGACTGCGGCGAATGTCCTCTCGCCATCAAGACTGCGGTGGCATTCAAAGGATCATTTAGTGACAACGCATGACCAACGCAACGCAACGCATGGCATGGCAGTCAGCAGTGATTTCACCTTCGCCAAATCGGATTCTACGGAAGATGATTCTTTAAGGACGAGAACGATGATCCTGGAAACACCAGCTCAGAGCGCTACATCGATACCGCTCTGACTCAGAGCGCTGCATCGATACCGCTCTGACTCAGAGCGCTACATCGATACCGCTCTGACTCAGAGCGCTACATCGATACCGCTCTGACTCAGAGCGCTACATCGATACCGCTCTGATGCCCTTCAGGACGGCCCTGGAATGACTCCACGGTATTTATTGGGACAGGGAGTGGCCCCAGCTGAACGGAGTGACCCTCACACGGCACGGACTTCACTGGATTGGTTGGTGGGGCATTTCCATGGAATGCAGCTTATGAGCTTAAGAATGTCATGCTATGGCTTCTCAATCGCCCAGCATAGGGACGTAGTTCCGGGAAATGAGTTGGGAAGAGAGACTGAGCAGTGAAAATGGCATATCCCACCCCCAGAACAAATAAATAAACGGGTTTCCTATAGAATTTCGCCTACGTTCTTCTCGAGGTTATGTGGCTGGAGCCCAAGTTGGGTGTGGGGAAAGACTGAAGACCCCCTCCCAACTGCACATAGTCCTTCGCCTTTAGTCCGACCTGTCGACCCTGGGCCTCATGCTGTGGGGCAATTTTAACAACCACATCCACGTGGAGAAGCCAGTAAGCTTTCAAGAGCTCAAGGCCGCCTTCGGATTTGAAATGGGACGCATCACCGTCGACGAGATCGACAATCGACTACCTTAACTTGCAGCATGTTGAGTTGCTGCACATCCTGAACTGCCAAAGGCCCCAGCTGGCGTACCTTTTGTAGTTACGATTTGACGAATGTGAAATCTCTTATAACTACCATTGTCCCTACCAGTTACTGTTGAACGTCGACAAAGCAACGATTTTTCGTCAGCTATGCAACCCATCGTTGAGGAAAACATTTGATAACTTTTATCTGGGTAATCAGGTTCTTCAAAAGGCTGCCGAGCATCGCGGTGCACTTTTTCCCTAACCCATGGTGTAGCCAGAGCCTCGCTAAGGGGGTGGGAGCACCGAGTTGACAAAGAGTCCCCTGATCGTGACCCCCCCCCCCCTCCCCCTTCGTACAAAATCACCTGATTTGGTCCACTTGATTTCCAAGGGGCTTAATTGCTATTTCAAAATTGCTTAACTGGGAAAGATGGCTGCAAAGCTACTAGAAAATGCAATAACGTTTGCATTTTGAAGACTTTAAACAGAACGAAGCGGCCGTTATATTACTGCATGGAATAAGCCACGGGTGCTTTTCAATTTACCGTGGCTAAAAAAGCTTTCTGAACGGATAGAGCTCAGATATTTTGTCAGATTTTATTGTGTTTTACAGAGATGTTGAGGACACCGTGAACGTTGACTAAATCGAAATGGGATCCAACATTTGCACTATCATAGCTAATCATTATACCTAGGAATGTTAAGCATCCAGTTAGAATTGATTAGTGATACAGCAAAATACGTAGCACAGTTCTAAATACGCGCGCTCGCAAGTCTGGGAATGAAAAACCCGACGTCCGGCATTGCAGTCTCTGCGGGCTGTACGGTGTTGGCTCCGTGGCTAACACCAGGCGGTGATCAGCGGGTAGACGAAAATGACGACGTATCTAAAAAGCAAAAGTACCTATAAACGGTCTAAGACATCAACTTATACATTTAGGAGGCACTCCGGGCGGGGAGTTTATCTGTGCAATCTCTAGATTGATAATAGGAGCGGATTAGCATTTACAGCACCGCGAAATGATGTGAGAATCTGGTGATGGAACTGGAAGAGTGCTGGTAGAATCTTTATTTTGTGTTGCTATAGCAGCTAACCTGTTCAGACGACGCTATGAAAAACATAAAGGTGAAATATACGCCCCACCATAATCTTTGGACGGTGCGTATTGGTTTGGAAAAGCTTTTGGAGGCACTATTTTACGACGGTCGCCCTCGCGCGTCTGTCGCCCACCGCCTACTGCTGTCTTCTGCAGTGGTCAACGCTGTTCAGTTTTGCGTACACAGCACCCTCAACCATAGCTTTTTTTCAACTAAGATTGCGCGCGCAGACTCAAAGATTTTGTGAGTTTTTCATGAATCGAGTCCAGGAAAGGATTACGTTGTCAAGCTAACATGCACAGGCCTTTTTCATTTTTGACCTCTTTCCGTCCACTGTATTGAACGCTTATGAAATTTCTTACATTTCCCGGGCATAGGGCTGCTTGGGTAGAACACTAGGTGGCACATGCCATTATCGTTCCTGGCCAAGGGGTGAAGAGCCTATCGGCTACCATTCTGGCGACACGAAACGGGGACTGGGATCCCCTAATCGATCCGGGGCCCTTAGAGGGGTGCATCATACATTGCCCCCCCCCCCCTCTGACGCGGGAGGCCCTCCGACCGAGGCAGTTTGCTCCAGATCGATGCAGGAGTCATGATCGATGTAACTAGATTCCTAATCGCCGCAGGTGGTCCAATAACCGGCAAAGAGACCTCAATTAGACCTAACAGACCGGTGGCTAAAATGGACTGGAGGACCACTTGTGGCGTACTGAAGCCCCTGACTGGCAAATGCTCCTTCCACTGTCTCATTGTGAGCTCTCATCAGAAGTTGGCAGAAGTTGGCATGCCTCGTTTTGTTTTCAGGGGGCCTCGACCAAAGCAATAGGCCCTCTAGCAAACAAAGCCTGTAACAGACCGGGGATCACTTGTCGACGCATGGCCCTCTGTTGGGCATTGTGGGCCCCTGACCGACACAAGAGCGCCTCATTGTGTCAGGGATCCCACACATCGCAAATCGCAGGCCCTGATCATGTCCCTGTTTTGGAAATGGGTCCTCAAGGCTCAGACCAACGTGTCGAGGCCCTATACATTTGGGATAGAAAATATGAATGAGAGATCACTTATGGGGACCCACTGACTGGCATTCCAGATCACAGCACTACTGGTGGGCCCCCGGATCAGGGTTCAATCAGGTCCTTGATTTTTGGTCCGGATAGGCTCATCGGGTCTTCGGGCCTCCTCGAACACGGCTTTTGATGACTCGGAGCCACTTGCCGACACAGGAACCCCCGCTAGGTACCGTGGGCCCCTGAATTACACATGTCACCTCAGTGCTTTAAGGGTCCCGACCAATGCGAATTGCGTGCCCAGCCTCGTCTATACATAGGGAATACCGCCTCCCATCCCCCGACTCAAACCAACACGGAACCTACTGTACGGTGTGGATGGTCTGATCGGCCCCTCGATCCTTGGTCCTGAGGGACCCTTCGAACTCGTCCCCCGACCGACTCAGCGTGTTGCCCCGTGTTGGTTACAATGGGGCCCCTGACCGACAAGGGGTCTGACCCCACCCTTGGTTGCGCCCCTGCGATCGAGTTGCTCCTACCTTGGGCCTAAGGCCGCCCTAGAGGTGGTTTTTCTGAATGAACAGCAATTTAATTTGCAGTCGAGGTTGATGTCGAGATCTGGTCATCAGGAAATTTATCTGACAGTTTATACGGAATGTACAGGTCGGGAAATAAAGGGATGAAGCGAAGTATCCTTGTTAGGATCTATATCGTAGCATGGCTAGTGCTGGTCAGTTTCACCGAATATGAATCGTGTTGTTTCAATAAATCCTAGACAACGCTTCTATCTTTAAAAGCTTTGATAGCCCACAGCTTTTGGCTAAGAGGAACATCCAAGGCATATTAGATTTTTAAGAAGTAATTTTTGAAAAAGATCTAAAACATACAGATGATGGGAATGCCAATATTCACAGACTCCAAAAACCTTAGCTTAACCAATTTCACCGGAGTTCATCATATTTCGTAAGTGTAGCGTTCAAATCTTAAGGTTACGGCGATTTGTTCGGGAGAGTACTGCCGATTAATTGTGTTAGAAGGAATTTCCAAAGCCACAGAAGTTAGTGCATGCCCTCAACTATGGTAATGGCAGACAAGCCGACCGAAAACGGCATTCGGTCCAGGGTATCAACCCCTGTGGAATATGACTCGCCAGACAGCATCAGCGGGGCAAGTGACATAGAAAAGGAATCTGAGAGTGAGGGAAAAATCAAGGTGGGTCAGGAATATCAGGCCCGGGTGCCTGATCTCCTTCCGTCAAATCAGAGGAAGCCCGAAAAGTGTACGGAGAGAGGCCTGTTGATGTGGGCTCCTAGCTCAAAGGCTTCAGATGAACAGCTAGAAAGATACCTCAAGAAGTCGAAGGAAAAATATAACTACACATGTGAGCAGGCCTTAGGAATGCTTTTCTGGCATAATTACAATTTTGAGAAGGCTATGGCAGATCTTCCAAACTACACACCTCATCCTGAAGAATGGACAGTGGAGGACAAGGTCTTGTTTGAGCAAGCATTCTCTTTTCATGGCAAGAACTTCCACAAGATCCACCAGATGCTTCTAGATAAAAGCATCCACTCACTAGTGACCTACTACTACTCATGGAAAAAGTCGAGGTCTAGGGCATCACTTATGGACAAGCAGGCAAGGAAGCTTGCAGCTCAGCGAGAGGATGGGAACTACCAGTTATCAGACCAGAGCAGTGAGAGTGATGAAGAGAATAAAGACTCTAGTGAAACAGAGAATGGTAGTAAAAGTCAGTGTTCAAACTGTGGTATTGCATGTCTGATCACAAACAACACTCAGAAGGGAGTGATGTGTAATACCTGTTACAACTACTTCAAGAAAAATGGAACTCTCAGGCCAACTGTGGGACCCATCAAGGGCGAGAAAAGAGACAGACCTCACTCAATGACTAGGAAGAAATCCCAGCTTCCAAAGGGGATGCATGTGAATCATGAAGATCTTCTAGAATGCTCCAAGCAAGATGGGGGTGATGCAATCATCCACACCATGGAGCAAGAGATAACTGGCCTGAAACGCCATATCCAGAACAACAAGCAGACAGTCAGCATGCTAAAGAGAAAATCTTGGTTGAATGTGACACCATATATGCCAACTGAGGCTCCAGGAAAAATCAATGCTCGCTGGACTAATGATGAGCTGCTCCTAGCTGTTCAGGGAGTGAGAAAGTATGGCAAAAACTTCAGGGCTATAGCAGAAGTGCTTGGTACCAAAACAGAACAGCACATGAGGATTTTTTACACAAACTACAAGAAAAGGTACAACCTTGACAGCTTGATCAAGGAGTTTGAGGAAGAGAATGGTCCCATCTCTGATGTGGATTCTAAGGTGAGCTGAAATCTTAATCAATTCAAATTTAATATTTTTAGATATGTAGCTTAGATATTTTTATTGGATGGATTTCTGAGTTCAGAGCTTATGGTAAGCAGTGCTTGTTGTGCTTGTTATGTATGTCTTGGCACCAGACATGCATAACAAGATTTAATCAATTTTCATCAGATTTCAGAATTCCTGGTCAACCACAAAATTTGGTAGCACATGCTGTAGTGCTCTTCATGTTCCATTTTGCCCTCCGACCTCTAGTGTCACTGCTGCACTGGCTGCAGGCCATTCCAGTCAAGGGAAAATAGCAGGAATTAGGCATTATAACCAACTCGCCAGCCTGGTGGCTTGGTCTGTTCCCATGGCTCAGTCATTTAGAACACCTGTCTTCTGATCCATCCATCGCTGGCAGGGTGGGTGGGGTCCCTTCAGGACCTCGCTATTTGCCCTTGATAGGCGTGGCCTGCAGCGGGCCCCGCCAAAGTTCAGTTGATATCAGGGGGCAGGGTGGACTGTGCTGAATGTTGGGGCAGCATTAAACTTTTGTTACCAAACTCTGCCTGTGCTGTTGCCCTAGAATTGTGTAACCTGATGGTAGAGGTCAGGGTGGTCACAACAGGCACTGCTAGCGGTCGGGGCCATCACGACAGGCACTGCTAGCGGTCGGGGCCATCACGACAGGCACTGCTAAGTGTTGGCTCCGATCTCAGAAATTCATCCATTCAAAAGGGTTAGATTAAATTGTCACAAAAACTGAGCTATCTGGACAGACTTTTGCAATCTTGTTTCCCTGTCATGTATATTTCCAAGGCATAACATCATTCATATTTCTTTTGGTTGAATCACATTGACGTTCTAAGGACAGGCTGTCAGCATCCTCATGGTAAGTCTGGGATTAATTAAGCCAGTTTGCTTTTTGCACCACAACTAAATGGTTGCATTCTTACCCATTTACCTCATGTCATTGTGAGGGCATGTCCTGACACCAGCCATCACCGCCAGATGGCCGTGGACCCACCGACCAGCGGCGCCGACACGCCTGCCAGCGGGCCGGGGCGCGGCGCTTCGCCGGCGGCGCCGGCCGGCAAGCAAGGCTCGTCCGCCTCGGGGCGCTGACGCCGCGCCCGCCGGCCCTGGTGCTGCGGCGCGCCTCCCAGGCCGGGGACAGAGCGTGACCTGGCGACCTGAGCTCGGCGCGGCGCTGACTGGTGCGGTGACGTCACGCGCCCGATTGTGGCGAGGGAGCTGTGCGGCCTGGGACGGGACCTGCGCAGCATGGCCGTGTCTACCCGCCGCCCGCACGCTCTCTGTAGATGCCTGGCTCTGTGCAGGTCAGACAGTGGTACTTTGCTGGCATCCTGGCAGCAGTCAGACAGTCCGTTGGCCATGCGCTTATGCCGAGGCAACGTCCTGCCGTCGGCACCATGCAGTGGCCGGTGTTTGGGTTGCAGCATTTGTATCGTAGCTTTGAACGTAGGGGCTTATTCGAACTAGTGTTTGGAAGAATTTGTCAGTTCTGTGCGAGTAAGTGTGTGCATTTGTGTGTCTGCTTCTGTAATGGCGGCGATGCCGAAGAGATGTGTTTGCATATCTGGTGTATGCTCGGAACTGAGGTGCCCCTGTTGGCACATCAAAGCGAGGTATGAGCCAGTTTTCTAGTGTTAGTCACTGACATTCATCCTGTGGAAAGTAGTACTGGTCCTGCATATGTGGGGCTTTACCATCAAGTGACGAAAAATGCTAGTAGCAAGGATATATGATGCTAGAATTATCCCGTCATTCTCTTGCCTCCTCCTCCGCCCGCTCGTTCTGATGAGGTATTGATGCAGGTGGACCTCCTCACGGGTCTGCCATGTCCTCATTGGATGACTTGGCGAAACTCGCTACTGTCTGCACTGGTGCGCCAAAGTGGTTCGTCATTTCCAGTGCGCGCGAAATCATACGACATTGTGTATTTATTGAGCGGACGGTGCGTTTGATCGTGAGCACTAGCTTTTCAGCACGTTGCTGTTTTACTGGCGCTCGAGCGTTCTCTGAGTGTGTTTGCCTCAGGAGAAGTATTTATTTGTGCATGTCTGTGTGCTTGAACGGTGGCCAGCGCTCAAGTGGTCTCTTGGTAAGAGGGGTTCGGGTCCGGGCCCCCCGCGCCCGCTGCCTACAGCGGCCCGCCGCCCGCTGTCCGGAGCGGCCCGCCGCCCGGAGCGGCCCGTTGCCCGGGCGGCCCGCCGCCTGCCGTGCCAGTCACCCCGCTGCTTCCGCCCAGATCCTGCCGACTGCAGTGGCGCCCTCTGCGTGGACTCGGGACGGTAGCGGTCTGCGTGGCCGCGGTCTTCTCCCGACCTACCTGATGTTCTGTGGGGTGCTCCGGCGTGGCTGGTGGTACGCGCATCCCCGCCGTATTTTATTTGTGGCGCCATCAGCAGCATAAGTATAAATACATGTAAGGATGATCCAATTTTGGCGGGAAATTGTAATAGCCATGCTCTATCACGAATGGACCTAATGGATGTAATACATGCATGCATTTTTCCGAAATCGTATAAGCTGCTTTTGGACATTGCGTCCGAGTCCAAACTCGAATTTTCGTCCCACCGATCTTCTCGAAACATTTGCGAACAAATAAAGCAGCTCGATTTCTGTGGCCATCCTTGAACTGGCGAGCCGGGGTCACATCGTCACCTTTAGAAAACGTATCAACCACCTTGCGAGCATTGCAGCCAAGGCTTTGCTTGGAAATCACTCAGATGATCTTCTCGAAACCTTTACAAATAGAGGGACGTATTGTGACTTCAGCGACTGTCTTGCAACTGATGCCCCAGATTGCCAGCCTCGCATTCAAGAAACCCTGAAACCGCTGGGGGAGGGGGAGGGCATCGGAAGCCGATACTTGAAACTCGGAGACCTCTCGACTGAAAACCTCTCCATCTGGAAAGACCTGTCATTGAATGGAGTGCCTGGGATTTCACCAGCCGCTCTGGAACTGGTGTCATGCTCTCGCATTATTGGCCAGCGTGCCACGCTAGCCGTTGTCGCGAAATATCACAATCCGCCAATCGGCCACATCAGTGCATCGTGGTTCAGATTGGTGCATACTTGCTACGCTTCGCCACATGGTGAGGGTGCGCGGGCCCAGAAAATTGTTTTGTGTTCACCGCAGAGCAACCCCGGTACAGCGCACCGGGAAGGGAAAAATGTGCTCACTGCACCTGCTAATTGCACATGTTACTTGGACAAACATTACTCGAATCGAACCGGTTGCTTTCTCCTCTAAACACTGACGCGCGCCCTGGAATCCGTTTAACCGTCACGCAACCACGAATGCGTATTTCACATGAATCGAAACACACGAGTGCAGATATCTAGAGACACGTGAAAGAATTCCCCGTAACGTACGTCTATAAAGGTCACAGAGTCCCACCGTCTGGAGCGCGTCCCTAACAGACTGAAGTGTTGAATGTCCCGAGAAAAAAAACACTCATTACGCCTCACATCGTGTTCGCCGCAGGATGGGACGCTCGCTTCCTCGCGCATTGGCATCACTCGTCTGCAGCACCTAGGGTGCCTGGTGCGATTGTTATAAAAAATCTGCCATTGAAGTCATTTTCTGTCCCAATCTAGATGGCATCATATGAAAATATGCCATTATTCGCATCGACTGGCCTAGCATATACAGGAGTTAAAGCAACAAAAACTGAGGTGCATGCTAGGTGCCAGCGCGATGTTATGTGGTAAAATATGAATAAGAAGCTAATAGTGGTGTCTCCAGGCACAGATGTCGATTTGTATCCTTTTGGGTGGCCACTGCCACCCCGCCCCCTGTGCCCGACTCGGCACTCCCAAAGATGGCTTTAGCCCCCAACCTTGAGTTCGGACCCCCAACTTTGCGGGCATTTAGCGCAAGCAGAACATTTAAAACGGGAGCTCAAGTTTGTATCAATTTTAAACAAAGTTGCCAACAGATGTTTCACAAATAAAACAAAAACAATGAAAGGTGAGATCTCCTGTCCAGTTAAGTACAGCTGACTGAGCGAGTCACAGCTTTAGATCTCCACGTTCAAACCGTATTTACTTCCTTATTTTCTGCTTTTACTGCATGCTGCATGATTCTTATAGCAGGCTTCTTATCTTCTTGACTCTGGTGCAGTTTTGTTGCATGACATTCGTCGCGATGTTTCAACTTTTACAGCCTGCAATAATTTTCTTTATTCTGCCTCGACGTTTTTCCAAGAGTAAAAAACGAGCAAGGGTAGATCGCATCATGAATCGTCGGCCAATGAAAACATATCAGTCGCATATTGACACACGAAAACGTGACGAATGTACTATTGGCGTCTACTTTTGGAAGCTCGCTTGACATGCGGCAACCTTAACTCCTACGCAGTTTCAGTGAAACAATTTCAACACCCTGAGATCGACACTTGGCGACTAAACCAATAGCAGTAATGGTCCGACAACGACCGCCAACACGAGCTGTGTCGGACATACCTTGACTCGGGTGCTGCTTTCCAGCCTGCTGCAGTGTCTAAAAACCGGCATATGACGCAGACGTACAAGTGCTCCGAAAAGGCACGTCCGATCGCCTTGAAACTTTCACCAATCGATTCCGGGTAATGAGGTGAGTCATGGGCAGGCAATATCGAGACCTGACCTGACTTCAAACACCTCGAAAACGCGAAGGGAAGATTTTACATACAAATGCAGACAACTCACATCTCAGAGCTTACTGCACCGATCGCTGTTAAACGTTCGCCATTGAATGCCCCATTCCTGATGCCTTATTGCAGTTCCAAATTTAGGTGATCCTAGGTCAGGTCAACTGCAATAGAATCAGGAACCTGCAAAAGGAAATCAGGTATAGGGCCATCCAATGGTGACGTTTTCACGTCGATCGGTGCAGTAGGCTCTGAGATCTGAGTTGTCTACATTTCCATATGCAGTTTTCCCTTCGCACTTTCGAGGTGTTTGACCTCATGTCAGGTCTCGACAATGCCCCTCCATGACTCATCTTATTGCATGGAATCGATTGGGGAAGGTTTCAAGACGATCGGACCAGTCGTTTCGGAGAACTCGCGCGTCTGCGTCACATGCCGGTTTTTAGACCCTGCCGCAGCGTGCCGCCCGCCTTGTGGCCGGTGCCTCCGTAGCAGCCTCAAACAGTGGCACATATCAACTATCAGCCCGCATGCCGAAGCTGTACACGTGAAACAACATTTAAAACCACATTGAAAGCTGACTGAAGACTGATGGTCAACGCCAAACAAAATTATTATGCTGCTTGACGACGGCGTGTTGTCGTCAGAAGATGCATCTTTCGTCGAGACAGAGCAAGAAAGCGTTGAGGAGCAAACGTATGGTTTCCCATTCAGCTGTTTTCCGTTCAGTTATGTTCTATTCAGTTGTTTCCCATTCAGTTGTTTTCAATCCAATTGTTTCCTATTGAGTTGTTTCATACCCAGTCCAGCCCCCTCCCCTCCTCCTAGCTTTGCGAGAAATAAGTCGAACCCGGGGAAGAGTCTGTTTTCAGTGCTGATGTGTGTATAGAACAGTGCAAGGCATATTCGTGGAGACAAGACTTTGTATGTAAATCCGCCCCGATATTTCAGTTGGTTAGAGAGCCTGCCTTCCATCCACTCGCCCGTGGCGAGGACGTGTGTGAAGATAGCGGCAGTTCGATATTCATGTTCAGCAGGAAATTGACGACCCCTTCGATTTTCACGACGTTTGTACAAAAGAAAGCCCAAAGTGTATTGGCGACATGCGCAAAAGTTCTTAATAGGGCATAAAGTGACCTGACCTTCAGGAGTCATAATCTGTCAGCCGTTGTGTGTAGCTTGTGAGCATAACTTGTTGCATATCATGGTCCATTCCATCGGAAATATTACGCATATTCCAGAAAATTCCTTAACACAGTCCTATCACATGCGCGTCGAAATATATGTTTTCAAAAATATATGATACGTGAATGCATTTATATATATATATATATATATATATATATATATATATATATATATAATCCCGCGTACTGACTGCTAAGCACGTCAACCAACTATGCTGAAGAAACCGATATAAGTCTGCTTTATTTGAATGAGCAAACAAATTAATTCAAAGCTAGAAAGCTGGAAAAAGTAAAGCACCTGAAGTGGGGTGCAGGTCTTGTCAGGTTACGCGACGACCTCACGAAAACAATTATGAGCAGCACATCTACACAAAGGAAATGTGCTGCAGAGCTGAATGGTACCAAGTGCTGGATCGAATGATGCCTGGTTCAGAAGTTATTCACATGAATATCTAGATATGTTCCGTTTCTGTCGAGTCGCATAATCGACATAGCATTTCCTTTACGGAAGTGTGTCACTTATAGTTGCATGCCGTCGATTTCTGCTGAGTATGGAGACCGTAGCGCTGCTAACTCGCTGTTTGTCCTTGATAGGTATGGCTTGCAACTGGTAGTAGCGGCCGCATCAAAGGTCAGGAAATGTCAGAGGGCAGAACGGACAGTGCCGGCCATCGTGGCACATATAACTTTCGACACCAAGATCTGCCGTGGACCTGGAATTGCGCGATCGGATGGTAGGCTTCAGGGCTCACGCAATGAGCACTGCTTAACATGAACTCTGATCCCAGAATGCCGTTCAATCAAAAGGTGTAGATTGATTTTTTAAAATATAGATCTTCTTGGTACGTTTTCCTTCAAACAATTCACCCGCAATCCATGACGCTTTTATTCATACCCTTTCGATACCCATGCCTAATTATTTTTACCTGCGTCACGCACCTGTGAACTCCTTTACTTGTACGTTTTTATGGAAGCATGCAGCAAATACACACATGATGCGCGTGTTGTAGATATACACATAGGATTAAGTCATATTCTCTAAATGCATATATATATATATATATATATATATATATATATATATATATATTGCTGGGTGTACACCACCGCAAATTAGTGTTTATGACATTCTTGATTGGTTGTTTTGATTGGGAGCTAGGCAGACTGGCTGCGCCAAATGCTTATCAATAACGGATATAGAAATACTGATTCTCACAATATCACGAACGAAGACCTTTCCTGATAACTATCTCAAAAAACGAAAACATAATATCTCCCGTGAACGTCATGTGACGTGAAACTTTTGTTTCAAAAATGCAATGACCTCATCATAGAAAGCCGATGAGGAATTATCGTGCGACATTGTCTCAAATGTTACACTAGCGCTACAACGTTACAATAATAATACAGCGTTACAAATTCAAATGTTAAACACCGCTATACTAGCGCATACCACAGACCATAAACGCCT